TCTCACCCATCACAATTGCAATTTAGGGCAATTTTGGAAGAAACAAAAATACTAATAAAACACGGTGTGGTTATGCTGTTATCACAATTTTTATTTGATACACCACATTTTAATTGTAATAAGGGGGTGTTTGTACCCCATTATTTGCGAATAATGTACTATAGAATAATGATTGATATTAAAATATGTGGTTAAAAAAGAAGAAAATGGAAGGGATGTAAAACGACTATTGGTGTGATAGTTAGACCCACCAGCACTATAGAAAAAACTTAAATTCCTATGAAAAAGACAGTCAAATAGGGGCTTAGTGTCCTCATTTTCTTCTTTACGAAAATGTTCTCTATGATATTGGAAGAGAGTCATTTTTATTATCAATCGTTATATTTATTATATTTTGTATTAAAAAACAAATGAAAATTTGTTTACTTGAGTATGGCGAAATGTCAAACCTTCTGTTCAATCCTAGATAAGTAGGCTTGAAATAGGTGGAATGGACTTTATCAAAAAAATAAAAAATAAAAAAGAAGAAGGAAAATTGAGATAATTAAGTTTTATTATCTGAATAGTGGGAAAATATCATTTCTTAGTGACTAAAAAAGTTGGGATCTCAAATAAGACATTCATCAAAAAATAATGTCATGTAAAGCAGAGTGGATGTGTTGGAAAGGATAAAACGATAAACGAAAATCTTTCCTTCTTTATATTAATTATTTTATAATATATCCCCTCTTAAAGTGTTCTTAATGTTAGGGGAAAAAAATTATTTTGAAAGCTTTAAACATTATATTTTATTGTTGTTATTATTAGTAGGATTGGGAGTATTTAATTTTATATTTATATTATTATATGTAACTCTTCAACATTATTGAATTATTATTAGTATATATTATTATAGTTTAACATGTGAGCTGTAACGACCCGGACCTCTCGCCCAAATCGTTAGCTTACGTACTGTCCGTTTTGGGTGAGCTTTGCGCCTATTTACCCCTCACAGCTTTCTGTCGCGTTCCCCAGAATTCGAATTCTTGGCCTCTACATAAGAGAGACTTAAGTTGAACCCTAATACCTCTACATAAGATAAACTTAAGTTGAATCCTGACACTAATTGGAAACGACCTGGACCTCTCGTCCAAACCGTTAGCTTATGTACTGTCCGCTTTGGGTGAGCCTTGCGTCCACTTATCCCTTACGATTTTTCTTTGCGCTCCCCAGGATTCGAACTCTTGACCTCTACATAAAAGAGATTTAAGTTGAATCCTAGTACCAATTGGGCAACTAAGCGGACAGTACGTAAACTAACGACTTGAGCGAGAGTTCTAGGTCGTTACATGAGCTACATATGAGATTAGATCAAGAGTGTAAATCGAAGATGAGACGTGAATTTTCATATTCTATTACACCAAGGAAATTTGCATACACAACAATTATTTTTAGTTTGATAATATATTTGATCAATGGCAACATGAAGAAAGCTTGTATAATATTTTCTCTACAATCGTGCACGCATGCGGAGGGAGAAATCTTGTTTGGTTAAAAGGGATTTGATTTTGAAGTCGTATTAAGCCATTGGTACCCATACAAAGAAAAACTTGTACAAGTTTAAAGAAGCATGAACCGAACACTCAAACTATAATTGTCTATCTACAGCATTTCTTCTTCAAAAACTAAATATTACCACTCTTATTCGGATGTTGTAACTGGTGGCGGAGCCAACACTTGGCGAACCTCTGTGGCTGCCCATGCTGACTCCATCCATCGGTTTTTTTTTCCTTATATTAGGCTGTCACCCATGTTCACCTGAATTCCTAGATCAGCTACTAGCTGAGGCCAAACAAGTTTGTAAATGATTCTCAATGGTCATAACAAATAGTTCTAAACATCCCCGTCTCCTATTTGATTTTACGTGTTATCAATTTAGAATGAACATTTAACATGTAAAATGTTAATCACAAACATGTAAAGTCAAGCATTACATGTATTTAGCTGCCTGAAGGATCAGTTTGTGTTTCAGAAGTACTGAAATGTCGACTATTTTTAATTTTAAAATATAAATTTAATCTACAAAGAAAACAACCTTATTAAGTTACGAGAAAGAGCTACAAATTAATTACACAAAGAAACTGGGAGTATTCAGGAATATATAAAATCACCTCATCATCTGGAAATAAAACTACATACCATTAGATTTAGATCATTGGTTTTTAATCCACGTCCAACCGTTAAGCCCTAAGAAAATCTAAGTGTCACTCCAGTTATCATCTCCTCCCTCATCATCACTTCCAACAGCCTGAATATGCAACAAATTACACAATGAATAGAAGAGTTAAGGCTAAATAGAGGGGGAGGGGAGGGAGAGAGAGAGAGACCTGTCGAATTTCATTTGCCCTCTTCAAAATGGCAGTGACTTTTCCATTGGCAGGGCCCCCTGGTAACACAGTCGATTTTGCTTTCGCAGTTGGTCTCAGACTGTATGACTGAAAATATAAAACAATGTAAGAAATACACATCATTTATTAGACAAATCGTTAAGCAACCATGTAGTTCAATCTTCATGCATTCCTAGTCTCAGCTGTGTGTGTCAACATATAGCATGATGTCAATTATAGTTATAAGAAAGAATTAAATTTGTTCCATGACCACTAAACTACAAGGTTTAGAGCATCTCCTAATGTAAAAACCAACTAACAGAAAAGTATAGCACACCAAGGCGCTGACAAATATGTAGATAAATGAAAACAATCATGAATGGAGGACCAGACAGCACAAGAAATTTTGCAGTCTTCACAAAGCAAGAAGATTAAGTAGAAATGACAACAACTTAGCATAAATTAAGCATATCATGATTTTGTTGGGAACCAATGTTCAGTTTTCTTCATCTCTAGTATATTTTTGAGGCAAAGTGATAGCTCCTTATCGAAGCAGGTAAATAAGGAAGCAAGAAAATGCACCTACCACATTCTAATTTATCCCTGTCAGGTTCGAGTTTCTAAACTTACACACTGATCAAATTTCAATCTACTTATCCAACAAAAGCTGGAAAATGAACCAGTTGGCTGAAACTCACTTTTGTTTTAATCTGATTAAGAAAGTCCTCCCTGGGATCTATATTCTTGTGAAATGCAACCTGATTAAGTTCTCTTCTTACATTTGTCTTTTCCAAGTCTGACTGCTGCATATAACAAACATATTTACTCAGATTATTTTGTTCCATTAGCAAGCAATTGTGAGATGTGGTGACGGGTCTCCATTCACCAGTGAATTTGTGATAAGTAGCCAAAATGCAGAAAAAGGAAAGTCGAAATACTATACCTTGCTATTTTCTAGCATAATTGAGCCAATAGTACAACCTTGTTTAAGAGAGGACTGCTTAGGTTGATGAGATATTGTAGATGTTGAACGTGTAAGACCAGATGCATAGTTAAGGCCGCCAGATATCACAGCATGCCTATTTTCTGTATCATCCAGACGTGACTTCATAGTCCGCCATTGTGCAGGAGGGAGAGGTGGAGGGGTAGGTGAAAATTGTGTCTCCACAGGATCCATTGTTGACGAATCGTTTTGCAGTTCTTCCCTGAGCGAGTGATTTTGGATATTAAACTTTGGAATATCAAACAAACCACAAGATTGAGAATGTTTGTCCACAACGCTTTTAACAAATGGAAGTTGACGACAAGGGTTCTCATAGATCTCTCCGTGTCTCGACCTCCCATTTTCCCTTATTGTTGAAGTAGATTCCATCGACGAGATTCTGCGTAAAACGTCATATAAATCGTGCTCCTTGCTACTGGGAGATTCTCCGGACTCACATTGCTCAGAATTTGAATTAGACCGATGGCTAAGACTATCATCTGATACAGAAGGTGATGATCTATAGAATGTGTCATCTGAGTCCGAACCAACGTTATGCTGAGTAGTTGACATCCCTGGGACCAATTGAAATGAAGGAAAAATATTTCCATCGCTTCCAAGATTATTATTGCCATCAGCGAATTTTAAGTTCATCTTGGTAGTCTCACAGCCATCTGTAGGCCGGAACGATACTTTCATGTGTTCAAGTGGCGGTGAGGAAGAGAACGACATTAATCGAGATCCACCTCCAAACAAATCTCTAGATCTTCCAGAGAATGATTGATCTGCAATATTTTGACAATTGTTCTGTTCGATAACACCTGTATTTAGGTAGCCAGAAGAACCAGAGTGGTCATCTCTGCCAACCAATAGCTTTCTATAAGATTCATTTGTAAACAATAGATTGCCCAGTTCAAACATCCTAGAACTTCTGCAATTCTCCCTATGATCTCTGGTAAATCGAATATCTGAGCTGACAGGCTGAGAACTTCTAGATGGTCCTACACCAGAGTCAGTAGATCCATTGTTCGCAGTACTACCGACATAATTTCGATGAAGTGAATTACTGGACTTTTCAAGCTTGACATCTAAATTGGTAGTCGAAATTTTCCAAGACGTCTTCCCAAATGAGGTGCCACCTTCCTGGTAATTTTGATGTGATATAGAGCTATCCATATCGAAATCATTTCCCATATTTCTGGAGTTCTCGATTTCATCAGATTTCTTTGCAGCTCTAGCCCTGAAAGTACAGATACTTCCATCGTTGCTGGATGCAGGATCTTGATGGATGGCATTTAATACACTGAAATCTGGAGGTTTTAATGGATCTAATCCTAGCAATCCACCATTTGTCCATAACTTCCCTTGTGTATTGTTAGAAGGTTCTTGTTCAGGTTCCTGAGATTCAGGATTGCTTCTTGTCCTATCTGTGAACTGCTTAGGTTGATGAGATATTGTAGATGTTGAACGTGTAAGACCAGATGCATAGTTAAGGCCGCCAGATATCACAGCATGCCCATTTTCTGTATCATCCAGACGTGACTTCATAGTCCGCCATTGTGCAGGAGGGAGAGGTGGAGGGGTAGGTGAAAATTGTGTCTCCACAGGATCCATTGTTGACGAATCGTTTTGCAGTTCTTCCCTGAGCGAGTGATTTTGGATATTAAACTTTGGAATATCAAACAAACCACAAGATTGAGAATGTTTGTCCACAACGCTTTTAACAAATGGAAGTTGACGACAAGGGTTCTCATAGATCTCTCCGTGTCTCGACCTCCCATTTTCCCTTATTGTTGAAGTAGATTCCATCGACGAGATTCTGCGTAAAACGTCATATAAATCGTGCTCCTTGCTACTGGGAGATTCTCCGGACTCACATTGCTCAGAATTTGAATTAGACCGATGGCTAAGACTATCATCTGATACAGAAGGTGATGATCTATAGAATGTGTCATCTGAGTCCGAACCAACGTTATGCTGAGTAGTTGACATCCCTGGGACCAATTGAAATGAAGGAAAAATATTTCCATCGCTTCCAAGATTATTATTGCCATCAGCGAATTTTAAGTTCATCTTGGTAGTCTCACAGCCATCTGTAGGCCGGAACGATACTTTCATGTGTTCAAGTGGCGGTGAGGAAGAGAACGACATTAATCGAGATCCACCTCCAAACAAATCTCTAGATCTTCCAGAGAATGATTGATCTGCAATATTTTGACAATTGTTCTGTTCGATAACACCTGTATTTAGGTAGCCGGAAGAACCAGAGTGGTCATCTCTGCCAACCAATAGCTTTCTATAAGATTCATTTGTAAACAATAGATTGCCCAGTTCAAACATCCTAGAACTTCTGCAATTCTCCCTATGATCTCTGGTAAATCGAATATCTGAGCTGACAGGCTGAGAACTTCTAGATGGTCCTACACCAGAGTCAGTAGATCCATTGTTCGCAGTACTACCGACATAATTTCGATGAAGTGAATTACTGGACTTTTCAAGCTTGACATCTAAATTGGTAGTCGAAATTTTCCAAGACGTCTTCCCAAATGAGGTGCCACCTTCCTGGTAATTTTGATGTGATATAGAGCTATCCATATCGAAATCATTTCCCATATTTCTGGAGTTCTCGATTTCATCAGATTTCTTTGCAGCTCTAGCCCTGAAAGTACAGATGCTTCCATCTTTGCTGGATGCAGGATCTTGATGGATGGCATTTAATACACTGAAATCTGGAGGTTTTAATGGATCTAATCCTAGCAATCCACCATTTGTCCATAACTTCCCTTGTGTATTGTTAGAAGGTTCTTGTTCAGGTTCCTGAGATTCAGGATTGCTTCTTGTCCTATCTGTGACAGGCATCACTGACTTATCCTCTCTTAAATTGGATGGCAATACTCTTCTGAAAATAGATTTTACTTTAACAACATCATCTATATTGCCATTTTCATGAGAATCAACGGTTTGCAGGCTGCCCGGGTTCAGTAACCCACTAGCCCTTTGAGTTGCTGGCAGTAAATGGGCATTGTTCTCTAAGGAATCTAAGTTTAATTTATCCTTTGCTGCTACTTCAGCAATAGAAGAGTAAGTTGCTGAAGGGGATACTAGAGATGCCGAAATGCAGTTATGTCCAACACTACTATTGACCTGAGAACTGTTGACAAAAATGTCAGATTCAAAATTTGAAGAATAACATTCAGAGTGACGTGTTTCATCTACTGCCTTGTCCTCTGATTTCAAGTAATGCTCTTCTTTCTTTATTGTGCAATATATATCAGTCTCAGTATCTGATTCAACTGTGTTAAGTGCATCCATGAATTGATCTGTTTCACTTTCAATGTCATCAAGCTGGTTGTCACCAGATTTTGGCATTGGCAGAGTTTCACTACAAGGCTGGACATCCATTTGGTCAGCAGTTTCATCAGCTCGACTTCCCCAAGTTTCACAGTCAAAATTTAGGGAACGTGACTCTAAATTTCCATTGGGACCATCTTCCTGTGCCATACAATTATGATTATACTGCCTCAGCATAAGCTGCGGGCTTTCTGCCTTTTCATCCCAATTAATTGAAGATGAACTATAGCCCATTTGCTCTTTCAATACATTGTTCTGAATATCGTCACATAGATCAGCCTCTTTTTCCTTGAGAAAATTGTATGGAAAAGAATTACTATAATACTTCTTTGATAGAGAAGAAAATGATTCTTTAAGTTTTTGTTTTTCAGGTTGCATTGAGTAACTTTGACCGAGAACACATTCATTGTAGGTCAATTCGTTTCTCGAATCTAAATTTGATTGCTTCCCAAAATCTGATCCGGATGTAGCATCACATGTGGACATTCTCTGAGAATGGGAACTTTTATCATTAACATTCAGTCCAGTGACCTGCATTCTGCAATGTTCAGACATTCACAAAATTAATCTATACAAGTTCAGCATAATTTCAGACCAGACAATTCAAAGCATAGGCCACTCCCAGGTTTTCTACACCCTCTTATTTCTCATTTCCCCGTTCACTTCAAGATGAAGAAAAAGACGTGTACCTGCCACTGAGATTAGAAAATGATGAACCTCGGGATACATCTCCATTCCTTTGCCATGATCTACTTTTCTGCTTATATTTTGCAAGTGTTAGTATATTGAAGTGATGATATACTTACAAAATGGCGAAAAATGAAGCTCGTAACACATCAGTGTGAAATGAGGATGAATAGGTTTTGGGTGTACTATAGTTTTCTTTTGGCAACATCCAATTATTAACACAAGCTAATCCATATCAGGACTCAGTATAATTCTAACATATCTTATATCCTTTTCCATACTTCCCAGATATTTGTTGACCAAGCATTCCTAACCAAGCAGAGATATTGTTGCCAAAACATTTGATACTTAAAGGTAGAGTTCAGCATCATATTTGTGCGTAATACCTTAATACTGCGAACGATCTTATCTTTAGCAATTTTCTTGGAATATGCTTCGTTAGATCCTGCTGATGCTCTCTTAAATAAAGTTGGATCTGAATACCTTTTGACGCAAGATCCAGGGCCACCAGGGTCAAACCTAAAAGAAAAGCACAAGTTTTATTGTGTGGCCAACAAAGAGGAACATGATATGTATGAGAATCGCCCTACTTATCGAGCAAATGCAAATGTGGAGGGCTGCAACAGTCTTCATAAGAATCCAAAATAAATTGAGGCATATCACTGCTTGCAAGTTGATTTTGCTCACATCCCAGGCGAGCATGCCAATTGGAACCTGTAATCAGCTTTTTCATGAGGAACATAAAAAGTTGGAAAAGCTAGTTGTAAGTACATTGAGGGAAAATTGTGTGCATCTATAAATAGTTAATCTGGACAATAAGGGAGTACTGGTGGAGAAGGGTGGGTATTGATTCCTCCAACCAATTTATTGGAACTATGTTTCAAGTATTGAAAATGTCCAAGCCAGGTAAATAAACATACCAGCTGAATAAGCAAAGTATAAATGGTTCCTCTGGGCCAATACGGTCTTCTCAAGAGGAGAAACTGCAGCTTCAATCTGTTGTACACGAGCCACCAAGTTGTGGCTTCTAGAACAGGTTATCATCACTTCTTCCTGTAAGCCATGGAAAATCTCTGCTGCAAATCTATCACATGCAGAGAAATTATAATGATATGCTTGAGTCACATTTATAAACACTGAAATCACTTTTTATCCACACTCTTTGAGACCTACAATTATTAACCACTTATTAACCACTCATTTCTATCTATTTATAATGTAGGTCGTTGATAAACACTTCCCAAACATGATAAATTCTTGATGACTGAAGAAATTGCAAAGATAATCCTTAGAAGTAGCATCTTCAAACACATCTTGTTTCTCAAGTCTCTGAAGCTTTCTGCAGGTTTGATTATAATTATCTTGCTCCACTTCCACCTTTATTTTTCTTTACATAATTTCACCTTTTCCCTTTCCTCCAATTAAGAAACACAATAAAGCACAATCATTAAATAATCTTCCAGTTTAATTCAATCAAAATTTATGAAATTTCAATTCAGTGATACCATTTACCAGACATACAGATTTAAAACTATATTTTTTTTAGTCTTCCTATTATGTTATGATATTTTCAACACCATTATTATGGCCCATCAAAGGCCACTGGTTTCATTTATCCTAGTAATTAGGTTTTTGTCCTCTTTATACTCGAACCAAGTGCTACTGGCTTTGGTCTTACAGGTTGAACTATTATCCTAGATTCCTAGTACAAAGGCATTTTCCAATTTACATCAAATCCGAAACTAAGTACAAAAATTTCATCATAATTGAGTTAAAAACAGAGAGAAGAAGAGAATTATGTTAAAGACATACTCAGCAAGGTCGCCGAGCTGACGTAAGACGCCTACGAGGCCAGCAACAGCAACTCCGTCGAGCACCGCTTTCGGATCCTCCTTGTTCGCTTCTCTATACAGCTCCGGTAGTCCAAGTCCGTACTCATTTCTCACCTCCACTCTCACCAACGGCATCGTAATACCATACACACACACTCTCAATTTCTCACATATACACAGAAACACAATAAGAATTCCAAGAGATTCTAAATCTTGCCAATGTACGAGTGGAGAAACTGAATATAAATTATAATGCGAAATAAGTGCTGTGAATTAAATGCAGAAACGATGATATTGCAATGCAGCAGCTTAACTGACGAGAGAGCGATGAATAGAGAGAGAGAGAGAGAGAGAGAGAGAGAGAGAGGCAGAAAATTATACAGAGATATACATGTGCACGTGGTGCAGACTGTCAGCAAATAGAAGAAGACATGCCAACTCTGCAAGCGTTTCTCCTTCTGTAAGCGTTTCTCCTTCTGTAACTGACAGTGAGAGGATTGGGAATGAAATGACGAAATTAGGCTTCAGGTTTGGTATAATTGGCATCTAATTACACAATAAATGACGAATTTGTCCTTCCAGCTGGGCAATCTTAAAATAAACAATTATTTCTATGGATCACAAGGTAGGAAAAAAAGTAAATTAATTTGAAATTAAGAAATTTGAGCAATCAATTACATGTCAATCCTATTCGTCGGCTCAAACGACCCATGATTCAGCTAGTAAAAAGCTCGACCCAAGGCTCGATGGAATTGAACTAAGGCTCGAGTCAAGCCTCATTTTTGAATGACGATATGAGTTCTCTTGCTTCAGATAGTTGCGTATTACCTGCCTACGTCACCACAAATTATAATTAAAAGGAAAAAGGAAAAAAAAATCAAGTCGGTCGTCGACTTGATTCAATAAGACCCAAACCTAAAGCTCGAGCCAGGCATCAATTTTTCAATCAAGTTTTAGCTCGATTCGACTAAGATAAAAAAAAGTTCGATCCACACTCGAATCGACTCAGCCCGATGCTCATTTACATTCTACAATTAATTCAATTGAGATTAATCTGTTCGAGCAGTTCCACCTTGGCCCTGTTCGAATAGGACACCCCCTATTGGCAAGGGGTCTGAGCTCGAGTAGTACTGTTTATTCAATTGTGAATGAGTTGAACGGATCAAATCTTGTATTTGTATTTGTCTTGTTCCTTTCGTCTACTAATAAATCAGTGAGATCTAATTGCCCCCAGGGCACATCTTCAAGTGGTAAAAGGAGAGGGTGGAGAAATCCAGCTTTGCTTGAGGCTGCTGCGTCAAGGGTTCGAATCCTGAAATATGGATTTGGCTCTTGGGTAAGTGTAAGTGTAAAAGCAGCCTTCCACCCTGTACCCTTGGAGGCATAATCTGCGATTTACCTCCCTCACGATACTCCAGGGCAGGGGTGGTGGAAGACCCTTAAAGTTAGGGTTTAACCTTTAATCAGTGAGATCTAATTATAATTTAAGCAATAAAAAAATAACGATTGAGCCATGAGCATGGTCAGTCAGTAGAGTTGACTTTTGACTGTTGTAGGATTTGTCGTTATTGACTTAGTTTACCTGTTACGGAATCTTATCATTCATTTATTTTCAACAACCCCAATTTTAATTCATCAAATCGATGAACAATGCATTAATTGGCTCAAATCTCAAAGCCCAATCGACCAAGATCCCAAATCTTAGTTCAACAATTTTCGATTATTCAAAGACCAAATATAAGTTTAATTTAAATAAAAATAATTTAATTTCATAATGAATAATGCTATTCATAGTAAAAATTATCAATAGTCGTTTTACATGATATGCACATAATAGTTTGTTATGACATATGTATGCTACGTAGGATGATTATCGATAGTTTTCACCGTAAATATCATTACTCCTTAAGAGTATAATGTGTGTGTGTATATTTTTTATAAGTAGATAATGGAGAGACTTAAATTCGAGATACATATCTGAACCGATAAGTCGACAAGCTTTGGAGTTAAGACGGACGCCTGATAATGAGTTAACAGTAACCATAAAATGCTACTCAGATTTATTACTATCTGATGTTAGTAATCTGAAACTGGGCTGGTTGGTGTACATTCATTCAATAATCAATATATCACCCTGCAAATGGTATACCTCAGTCAGGCCAGCTCTCCCAACATTATTGTAGTTCTTGGTGTTTATCGTGGAGAATTTACTATGAAACTTGTTAGAAATCTTTTTATTTATGAGCTCCAGCCCAAAAGAATGAGCCTAGGATATTGAAAGCTGCAATCATTGTTCTCGAGTTAGGAAGGCATAATTTAAGTTTCACGAAAGGTTTGATTTAGAGTAATCCGTGACAGGCGCCTATCACGGGTTCTTGTCACGGCCCCTATTACAGTAGCACCCCTTTGATTTAACTCAAGTCGAGTAGTACCATCTCATAGCCAAACAAAAGAGCTCGAATTCCCCAACCAACACTTTTTAGGTCAAGCATACCGCACCGGACTTGTTTAGTGCAGTTTACTTGGCTGGTATGATTTGCAGGTTATTACGTCAACCCGAGAACTTACCCAATGCGCACCTGAAGGGTAGCGTCTATAAGTTCTCTTGTCATAAAATAAAAAATAAAAAGAGCTCGAATTCAATATGTATAAATTATGACCCTCTTTGATGTAGCATAAAATATTGTTAAAAAGTAATTCAATAACAATTATTAATTTTAATAGCACATTTTACTGACTCTCAATTTCTTAATTATATATTTCAATGACCTTTGTCAAAATTCAATAAAAAATTAACTTTGCTAAAGTAGGACATGTATGTACATCCCATAAACATTGACCTCAGTCAATGAAGCCGGTAAGAATGGGGAAAGGACAGCACGATCCACCGAGTGTTCAAAATTTCCAACAGATACGAGAGAGAGAGAGACACGGAGCTGTAACCTACGACTTGATAACAGTAATATGTTATAGCCCGGTTTGATTTCCATTTTTGTCAAATTTTAAATGTAGGAATTGTATTTTTTTGAAAAATGTGTAGTAAAAAATAATAATTTTTTTTTTATTTGTGTGTAATATTATTTTATAGAAGATTGAGTAGTTGAAAATAAGAGAGAGAGAAATGAGAATGGGGCCAAACGGAGACATTTATTGAGGGTGATGCCGATGAAGATTATCTTGATTATAGTCCTATCACCCTACCACCAACCAATGACATCTTTGACAACCATGAAGATGCACGAATGACCATTGGTCGATCTCTCCAATAGATTAACTATATGGTGCAATATTCTCGTCTATTCGATGAATAAAATCCCAATGCAATCTGTAACTTTAAGTCCCAAAATCGATCAATATGTAATCGAAAATTAAGGGTGAGGAAAAATCATTTTGTCGACTAGTATACATGCCTACAAAGACTTTTGTTGATCCTCATAATCCTTGAATTCTCTTTTCTCCCGTCAAAAATCTACGAGACCCTAGAACAGTTGTCAAACATGCTCACAATCTTTTCACTTCCACTCCAGCATATCCAAGAGTACAAAAAGGAAGCCCTATCCAAGGTAAAGAAGTAGGATATTTTTATATGTTCAAAATACTATCATCGAATAAAAGTTATTTTGTCTTAAGTACTCTTTTAAAAACAACTAATTGATTCTTACACTGGAGGAGCACTAGGGCAGAACCCATCCTTTTCATTTTTGTAAGACGCCTAACATTGGCAACATTGACAACCATCAAAAAGTAATACAGAGTAAACTAAAATAATATAAGGACAATCATCCTCTTTTTATATATTGTTAGATATTCTTCATTAAACCTGGCTAGGATGTTCTTTTTCTTTTTTCTTCTTTTTTTAATGGATATTCGTATAAAATACGTGCATACACATTATTTGAATTCATAAACATAAGTCAACAATGACTACCTCACTTTTTCTTCAATATCTCATTACATTCCTTACTTTATCTATTACTACTCGTGATTGTTTTAACCTTTAAAAACATTCGAGGATGTTAACTAAGGTCCATTAGGTGCATATTTTCTTGAGTATTCAGCCTATTACCATGTAATTGGCATTGTTAATTCCTCATTTACCCTTTGTTTCTATAATGCCACCCTCAATGCCTTGATTCTAGGACTAAGAATGGTGTATAGGAGATGGAGCCCATCATGCATTGGGCTTGGGATGCCAAGCGTGGTAAGCCGCTGTGTAAGACACGACATTGATCATTAGGGAGGCGCTACTGTCACAGGGGTTGTGAGTAGAACTACATTGATCTTTAATAGTGTTCAAAATTTGATCTTGACAGATGTCTAGGATAGCATGGCACCCAAACGAGCACGGTCAACAAGGATGTGGTAGATACATGGGCGGACCAAAGGGCAGTCCTACAAGGTTAACTGACCCTTCAAAATTTGAAATTACCCTTTTTTTTTTTTGGGATAAGTCTTATGTATCAATTTAAATTCAAATTTTAATTTTAATCTAAATCAATGTTAATAATTAATTTTAATAACATATTTTCCTGAAATCCTTAATTTTTTTAACCTTTATCAAAATTTATTAAAAATTTAATTTTAATCTCCATCAAATAAGGGCAAAATCACAATAAATTTGATTTTTTTTTTCTTTTACTCTATTTTACTCTCATTCACACCATTCACAAAAACCTTAACTCTTCTAATTTTTTCAAATTTTTTTACAAATGATCATATCTACTACAAATTTTTACTTTTCAATCAAATTATCAATTAATTAGTATCTAAATTTGCATTTTCTCCTATCTCATTTGTTTATATAGAATGTGTCTGAACTGATTACATCCAATTTAATTTATATTTAACAAATTTTATTTATTTGATTGAATATTAATTATATATTTTCCTTTCAGTCACTTGAAAGTATTAAATGCACTATAAATTTTCAAGCTTAAATATGATTTTTCTTGTGATGAACAAAATATTAATAAAACAATTGTTCGAAATGAAATGAATGAAAATTATGAGCAAAATGTTAATGAAGAAATGTTTTTAAATGTAAATCTATATTTTCTCGAATCAAGTATGAATCATTCAAAAATCAATAACAAAATATTCGATTTGTAAGAGTTTGATTATGCCCCTAACTAAATATTTCTGCGTCCACCCCTGGGTAGATATAAACATAAGCATTTGCAATTTTATTTTTATTTTATTTATTTATTTATTTGAGAGAGAGAAAAGCAGATTGCTTTGTATGTGTGAAATGTAAATATTTTTATAACAAAAATAAAAGACGGTATTTTACTAAATTCATTCATTCTGCCATACAAAAATATTTAACACATGCGCACTCTACTAAAAAAGTTCTCTTCAATAAACTGGAGATGGCAGAGAAACAAAGAAAAAGAAAGCACAAGGCAACTACAAAACCTTGATTAAGAAAGAATTGGAGGGAGCAGAAAAATTGAACGAACAATGTCAAATGAAAAATGGTTAGGCAAATCATAAACTATGCATATTTAGAAATATTCATGTAAATGTTCAAAATTTCAAGTTTCCAGGGAAATATAAAATCAACATTTTCGACTAGAACAAGGCCTTAAAATTTATAGGTTTCAGCAGGCCAACATAACCAGAGACATCAAGAAATAGAACCTACTACATTAACTGCATAATTAAGTTACGAATAAAACTCAGACACAAAATACAGCAGATAATCTATTCACTAGGAGAGGAAAAATTCTTCTCTGCCGACAAATTTGCCGAGACCAATGTTTTTCTAGGAATATTGATATAACCGTGCAAGTCAAGGACTCAAAAGTTACTTGTGCTCCAACTTCCACACAGCAATACCCATCAAGCTCTTTTCCTCATTGCTAACTATAAATATCTGCATCATATGATAGTAACACCTTCAAGAAACTGTATTATACAAAGATCAAAGTCTCACAAACATAAATGGGTAAAAAACAACTCGACATGAGAGTATCATTGGCCACTAATAGTCTACATCAAAATGCGAGTTGTTGCCACATAATATATCCACGCTAGGTTATAATAGCACAATCAGCATTATCAATCCTCAACATGCATCATTCAAGCACACAAAAGTTAATCTTTTACCAGTGTATTCAAAACCATTTAATGGTCTACAGAAGTTGACATGGCTCCATAAACTGAATATTTTACAATCATTTCCAATAGATAAGGTAAAATGGTTTAAATGAACCCCCACACAAAAATACCAAATGCCAATAAACTCCTCCATGAATTGGTCCAGGCAAATAAAAATTAAAACCTTTTTGGCGTTCCAGTTAGTTATTTAGCATATTCAAGCAAATACTGATGGAATGCTAAATTTGTTGTGGAAGCTTTCTGGATCTCGTTGTTTTGAATCCAGTAGAAGTGGTACCCATCCAAAATTAAGTAAATTACTTTCAAAACATTGCCAAAAAAATATTCTAGTTACCATTTGAGAAATCAGTCCTGTCCTAAATTAGTTTCATAAAAATAATTTTATCTTTATGATTTACATGGAGACCAAGTGCAGGGGGATAGCTTTTATAGCCTAGGGAAAGGGAAATTCTACATGCCAAAAAGATAAAATGCCCCTGTTTCATTTTTGGGGTAAAATGTGTTTTGGAATAGTGATTTTTTTGGAGAATTTGTCGTTAAAAAATAAAGAAAAGTTTTGGGTTTACTAGTAAAATAACTTTATGGGAGAATGTATAGTTCAAAATGAATTTTGGAAAAATGTGTTTTTGGAAAAATGGAGCCCAAACAGAGGCAATATCAGAGAGTGGAAAGCAAAGAATCCTAAAATCTTTAGTATTCTATAGACCTCCAGGGGTGCCCTTAATTCCAACAATTGAACTCCATAATCCTAACTGAGAAATCAGTCATCACAGTGTTCATCATTATTATTTGATGCTTTCGTCTCATTCACGGTCACCATGTCAAAAGAACATACTGACTTCCCTAATGTCAAACATGCAGAACGATTCAAAAAGCCATCAAATACATATTGGGACTCATTTCATGTTTTAGAGAAGTCCTACTCACTTGAATAATTTTGTTCAAAGCTTCAAACGAAGTTAATCCCCGATCATGATAATAGATGGGTACACAAAACCACCAGAAAGAAATAGTCATGTTCCAAAATTTGAAATCTTTTTCCAAGAAGGCACGAGATATTCTAATATTCTCCTGCCAAGATTGAAGTTTTTTGGTTTGTAGGAATTGGAAGTAACTTGATCGTGTACTCACTTAGCATAGAAGTCGGAAAACCTCTATTCCATGAAAGAAAAGGAAACAAATTCAAAAATCAAAGCATAGCATAGCTTTGTATTAGATGAAAATAGCAATGAATGAATCAATGATAAATAACGAAAAGAGAAACACTCAACCAAATAAAATGCGAAATGCAAGGAAAGGCCCAACCTCCTGCTATGCCAAAAACTATAAAATTGTTTGCCAACAGAACCTACCCTTCATTTAAAGTGCTTCAACACAAAGTTACACCGAAAGCATCAAGGGACATGGAAAGAAAAACTGCACCGAACTACCATGTGCAGTGTAAAAGACCAACTCTAAATCATTGCCACCACACACCACTCCAAAAGAAAGAAGGATATGCTAATACTATTGTACAATTGAGTGAAAATTTGGGTCAACATTTTTCAAAAATTAACAGCTCAGATTGAACCTCAACTTCAAGACCAGATAGATATCCTCTACATTCTTTAGGAACTCTCGTTTAATGTAAGAAACCCCTGAGTGCAAAATATACATACCCAATTTTAAGAGACTAAAATATATAATCTTATAAAGAGATAAATAAGAAGTTAGTATGAAAACAAAATATTATTATGGAAAATGAACCCAGAAAGATACACTACAAATCATAAAATTGACAAACAAAATTTATGAAATAACACAAGATTCAAAACCATACCATCAGAAGATCCAGATCGTTTAGCCTGCTTGATCTTCTCGAGCTGGACCTGAGTATCCATAAATAACTGCATCCTCTGAACCTCTAAATCCTTGGCAAATTGCATCCTCTGTTTCTCCAGCTCCACCATCTGCCTCTGCTTCATGCTTTCCACCCTCTCATATATCCCTCCAAACCTCTCTATTGCCTTTGCCAATCTCCTCATCCCCTCATCTCCCCCCTCCTCCTCCGCACCCCTCTCATCGCTCACTTCAATTTCCTCCCCACCCGAGTCCCCCTCATCCTCTGCATCAGGTGCATCCTCGGCCGCAGCTGCAGCAGCAGCCATGGCAGAATAATTCCTCCTGAAATACGACTCATCCACAGTTGGTGGTGGCGGTGACGGAGACGAATACGGACGCTTCTGCGGCAAAACAGCCGTAGGTAACATCGCAGACGGAAACTTACGGAAAGGTAACGGAACAGCCATCGGAGGCGATGGCAGAGACAAAGTCGACGTCGATTGAGATACCAACGGGATCGGCGACGGCATGAATTTCTGCTGCTGTTTGTTAAAATTAGAACCGATCAAAACATCAAGACGAGAAAAGAAAGGCCACGACGAGGTTAGGGTTCCATTAGACTCAGCAATCTTGGCCTTTTCAATTTTTAACTTCTTCTTGAGGGTATCGATTCGATTCTTGCACTGAACATCGGTACGGTGCGTCTTCTTGGTATGACCGTGGCGGGCGTTAACGGCATCAGCCACCTCCTGCCAGTCCTTCTGACGGAGATTCCCACGGTTCAGCTCCAAGTAACGGCGGCCCCAAGCGTCAACCAACGTCGAAGTGGCTTCCTCCGTCCAACAATCCTCTCGGAACGGTAACTGACGTGCCGGCGTCGATGACTCCGTTAAATCGCCCATGGATCTAGGATCGGTGATGAGTGGTGATAGTGGTAATTTCGGCGGAGATCTGAGGGTAAAAATTTGGCTGAGAAGAGAGAAGACAGAGGATTAATAATTTTGGCGAGTGGGTGAGAAAAAGTAAGTGCGGCGAAGGGGACGCCGGATGGCGATATGGCACGTGAGGTAAACATGTTGGGAAAGAAGGGTTAGAAGGCTGACTGGGAGAGGGTACCGCCGGGGCGCGTGGAAACGAAGCTCACGCGATTGCGGTCTTTTATTGGTAACTCCGTTATATCACGATTACGAATCGTCTTATTCTTTCAAGCCGCTGATTTGAGTTGATTTGATGAATTAGTGGGCTTCGGCTGGACGGAACGGAACTGGGCCGACATAGGCTAGAGAGAGAAATTTCCCGGGTTGCTGAATTTGTGTAGACTAATTTACAGTGAATAATCAAGTCAACGATGGAAAAAAAAAAAAGGAAAATTCGATTTGTACATAATTATTGCACATAATGGTATTCATAATGTGATGTGGCAATCATCCGATTGTTGATGTACAAGTGTGAGAATTGAATTAAAAGTTGGATCCAGTGTCACGTATAATTATGAACACTATTATGAAGATAATTATGTACATATAGCACTTCTCAAATAATAATAATAATAATAATAGGGTTAATTTCACAAACAATCACTGAACTTACGCGAAAATTATAAAACAGCAACTGAAATTTAAAACCTTCAGAAACGATCACTTAGGTTTCGGACAGTTTCACTAATGGTAACTGAAGTTTTTAAAACTTGCACAAATGGTCATCGAAGGTACCAAAATGATTCTAATTGACCGAAACACTTGACCATACAAAATTTTGAGGACCTCAGGTGCAAACTTCCAGTTGGTGGAGTAGACGTGGTGAATTTTGAGGATTTTGAGCCACCACCTTTGGACCACCACAACTCCAACCTCCAATCGCTGGACCAATATGACACCTTGAAGTCCTCATTTCGCTCTTTCTAACTCACCCAACCAATGGCCTAAACTCCATCAGATCTGTCTGAAATTTTCGGTCAAAGAAGGCTACCCATGCAACAAAAAAGGGCCGAAAATTGCAACAACGGCCTCGGACAATTTAGCCCCAATTTTTGGTGCCAGCGACGCTACCCACAATCGCGGACCACCACCCCTATTTCCGCCTCTTCATGGCGCATCCAATGAACATATGGGTCACTACCAATTTTGAACCAAACAAATCAAAAAGTAAAAGATCCCTAGCTCGTTTTATTCATAGCGAACTCGGACCATTCAGCGCCAATTTTTGATGCCAATGATGCTACCCACGGTCGTGGACCACCACCCCTAGGATCGCCTCTTCATGGCGCATTCAATGAACATATGGGTCACCCCTAGAATCATTTTGGTACCTTCAGTGACCATTTGTGCAAGTTTTAAAAACTTCGGTGACCATTAGTGAAACCGCCCGAAACTTCTGAAAGTTTTAAATTTCAGTGACCATTTTGTAATTTGCGATAAAGTTTAGTGACTGTTTGTGAAATTAACCCATAATAATAATAATAATAATAATAATAATAATAATAATAATAATAATAAATATTTTTTTGTAAGATGACTTATATTTTATGCATTCTAATAATGTCATCTACTATTCAAATAATATTATTTTTCACATCTCATTTAACTCAACACATTTTTTTAAGGCTATTTTTTCATTTGCTTCCCCGTAACTCAAAAGTTGTTCGAGAGATTCCTGACATGGGATGAACCACAGATTTTCGTGGTGGTTTAAGTCTAAAGATGGATTTGTGTTCCTATTTTTCCTAATGACTTAAGTCTCACACAACTCGTGTGACACCACTAAAGTGTGGGTGTAACATGACAACAAAAAGGGAATAGAAGTGATTTTAAAATTGTACAAAAATATAAAATATAAATCAAATTATATTAAATGCAACTAACGTGTTGTACAAACACAAAAAGGTCGACAAATATTTCTAACTATAACATTATTATGCAAAATCGTAATTTCTTTTCATTTACAATTACATTCTTTTTATTAATTGGAAATTTTATGACTTCAGTCTTTACATACGTCCCTTTCGTTTTTATAAATTATAGAGAAGGTTTATTCCTACAACATATTCCTCAATACGACAAAAATATATACTTTCATTTACACTTTTTTTTTTTCTTTTTTGGCTCTCTTTTGGGCATATCCACTTTCTTTTGGGAATAAATTGTATTTCTTAAAATCAACAGTATATTTTGTGTACTTTTTCTCTCAATTTCCCTTGAATTTCTTAGACTTGAACTTTTATTTTTAATTGCGCAATGGCCTACTTATAAGAATTGACAAGGGTATTTTAGTCAGTTTAGTGATTTGAAATTATTCTTTAGTTTGTTGAAACTCATGTTTAAGTTTTCATTTACAAAACTTATTGATATTTGTACTTTATGACATTAGTTTAGGTACATTTTATTTTCACGCAAATATGTTGTACACTAACTTCAAAGTTGATTTATAAGAGTTTGCACTGAGATGAGTTACATCCTCGTTCAAGACTATTAGAGGCCTCATCATGTTAAAGTCCTACATATTTCTTTGTTCGAGCAAGTCTTCAAGGCTAGGATGAATGTTGATTCTACTTAGAATATAACATAAATGCTATAGATAAAGACAAAGGTATACCCATTGGAACAGTTTGCCCTCACTATTGAAAAAAAAAACGTTAAGAAGTTTCGTATCTTATTGGGGAAGTGCGTCATTTTGTTTAGGCAATCATTCGACGATTGAGACATAGATGTTCACTTCATGACATGTGAACACACGATTGAGCCCCTTTTTGTGGCTAAGGTGACATCCAAGCGGACGGTAAATTTAGATTTTACATATGGCAATAAATACACCATTTACTAGAAAAGAAAAAGGTAATTACACTCTCCGCAATATTTATTAATGGCATCATATTTTAATTGAAATAAAGGTTCCTAACTTTAGTTCATTTTCACATTTGTTCCCCAACTTTTTTCGTTGTATTTTTATTACCAACATTCTAGTACTTAGCACATCTTGTTTTTAATGAAAATCAAAAAATCTTTAGGAAGGAATAAGAAGACTACTTTATCCTTCATATTTTTAAATAAGAAAGATAAAGAACAAACAAAAAAAAATATTTTTCTCATGTTACCAGAATATTTAGATAGAAATTGACATTAGAGAAAAGATGTGTTAATTAGTTGAAACTAAAAAATTAGAACAAAAAAAATGGAGGACATGACTGAAAAAATTGAGTACCTTAATTACAATTAAAATTTGGTGCTGTTAACAAAAAGTGTAATTATATTCACACAATCATTTTTGTTAATTTCACCACATTTTAATTACAGTGAAGGTTATAACATTTTGCTTATTTTTGCACTAATATTCCCAATTTTTTTGTTACATTTTTATATTTAAAATTTAGCTGGTGCCTTCTTCCAACTTAAAAAATTGTTAAGAATGTACATGTACTTTTCAATTGTAGGATGATTTTTCTCCTTTTCACAATAAAACTTCATAGAGGAGAAGATCGAGTCTTGTTGGTGAAAGGTTATTCGTCCAAATTAAAGTATGTCTAGAGCATGCTTCCTTCGTAAACGTAATTAGGATGCTAATGAACTGGCACACTGAAAGACGGATTTTGGCAGGGAATCGGTACGATCATAAAAATACATATTATTTAATGAAAAAAAAAACATATGTATAGTTAAAAGACCCAACTGAATATAAATTCATGGAGAGATATAAATGACCAAAAAAATAATAATAATAAATAAATAAGATGAAACTTAAATAGTAATTAAACTTTTAAAGAAAAAAAATACTTTAAAAAGTACTATGTAAAGTGTTATGTAATATAAAATGAGTGATTAGTTATTTTTAATTATGTATATTTTGGTCTATTTAATTATACATAATTATATTTATCAATATTTAGCATTTTTTTTGTTACTATACTCTAAAATGTTGTATGTAAAATTATAAATTCACACAATACGATTGATAAATTCAAATACACCCTATGCAATTTGTAAATTTGCTACATTATATGTCTTCATTTCTTTCTTGCTTTCTTCTTCTTCTTCTTCTTCTTCTTCTTCTCCTCCTCCTTCTCCTCCTCCTCCTTCTCCTTCTTCTCCTTCTCCTCCTTCTTCTTCTCCTTCTTCTCCTCCTCCTCCTCCTCCTTCTCCTCCTTCTTCTTCTTCTTCTCCTCCTTCTGCTTCTGCTTCTCCTTCTCCTCCTTCTCCTTCTCCTTCTCCTGCTTCTCCTTCTCCTTCTCCTTCCTCCCTTCTCCTTCTCCTCCTCCTCCTCCTCCTCCTTCTCCTCCTCCTCCTTCTCCTTCTCCTTCTTCTCCTTCTTCTTCTTCTTCTCCTTCTTCTCCTTCTCCTTCTCCTTCTCCTTCTCCTTCTTCCTTCTTCTTCCTTCTTCTTCTTCTTCTTCTTCTCCTTCTTCTTCTTCTATGTTTTATTGTTTTTCATATTTTTTATTTATATGGAGCTATGGTTTTACAAATAGAAAGATATATTTTTGTCTAAATCAATCTTTGGATGTTAGCCATGTTTTTAATATTACTTCAGAAATGATTTTGATCAAAATTTGTTTCTTGTCAATCAAAAATGTTTTCTAAACCTTTTTAAAAAGTCTTCAAACCAATATCCCAATCTAAATTAATTTTGACAAAATAGTTGACTTAAAACAAAATTCTCCAAATATTTCGGAAAAGTGAAAAAAAAAAAAAAGGTAAGAATTTTTTTTATCATTTAATAACAATTTCAAATATAACATGAAACAAGAGGGTAAAATTGTATTTGCAAGTTGTTTTGGCTTATTCGGAGAAACTATGTTAGAATACAAATCTCATGGTAGATTTCTCCAATTTTTAGCTGGCTCCCATTTAAATCTCTTTAATTTAATTTTTCATCAATTTTCAGCCCAACCTTTTCACAATAGTGTGTCAATGTCTGCACCCTATTGAATCACTTGGCAGAGAATATCAATATCCAAGGGATATTTGGACATTGTAAGGACATTACCACCCTCCACTTTCCATGTCAATTTACAAAATTACCCCCCAATACATAGCCCCCATTTTGGCATCTAATATTCGTAGGGTATTATGGTCATTTAGCCTCAAGTGTAAAAATTCTCATTGATTATTATTGACTACCAAGTCCACATGTAACCTGCAATGTCAGTTGGGATGGATACATGTGCCCTGCAGGTGGTTGAAAAATTCGGTAAATAATGGATTTTAATGGAATTTAAAGGGGGCTTAATGAGACGTGCGCCTGTTGTAGTCAGTAAATTGCCATTGGGCTGTTCACCTTCTCATCAACTGGTTGTTGCCTC